CTCACGAATTGGTGTACCAACAACAGGGTCATCACCACGGACACCACGTCGTGGAACGCGACCATTGGCACGAGGATAGGGTGGTGCGTCGCGTTGTTGCCCAAAAGGGTTCTGCCTAGCTCCATTTGCGACAAGTCCACATTGCGATAGCGAAGGATGTTGACAATGGTGTACGCCAACAAGAGGGCACACGAAATTAGTCCGAATTTCATCGGAAGCTCTTGTGGCTGACGCAAGGCCGTGGGCCGCGGGATGGACTCACTTTGATGTGCTTTTGAGCAAAAAACCCTTCTGCAAAGCACTAGTCTCCAACAACGGGGGCTTACCGTTCTCTGAATGTGGTCGTTCTGCATTGGAGCTTGCGCAGTGGCGACAGGGCCCTCACGGGTAAGAAGCCGAACAAACTCGACAAAGATGAGGCGAGCACGGTTGAGACTGGTTCCGGCACAAGGGTCCTGAGCTTGGAGCGGCTCGAGCGAGCCTGAAATGCACAAGCCCAGGCATGTCTCCTCGCATCCCAAATGTGCACATCGGCATCATACGATGCCGTGGCAATCACAGCGGCATCTGGCCTCACCATGCTGATGGAAGTTCACGCATTTCATCGCTTTGGCGGATGCTTACAAGGGGAATGTTTCAAGAGTCTCATTTTCTTGCTCGCCCACTGAACCCACGTCGATACAGGGGCAAAACAAGCGCAGTTAGTCTTTGGCTTTTGCACTGGGTCACTGTACAAGACCTCTTGGGCCCGAAGCAACTGCTCGCGACCTTCTGGGCTCAGTCGCATCTCAAAAGCTATGCTCAATCGCGAAGCACCGTTCAGCTGCACTTGGTGCAGGCACGGTTGGCAAGCCGGGAGAGGCACTGCCTGTAGGAAGTAAGCATGCGCCCACTCTTCGCCGATCATTGCGGCGGCGCTGGGGAGCTCTGTGCTGGCCGGCACCCATGCATGGTTTCTGTGGACTTCAAGCCCAGCGGCATCTGCAATCACGACAGTGATCAATCCAGGATCGGTGTGCTCGCAACACGCCATCCACTGCCCGGGCATTTCCGGGTAGTAAAATACATCCATCACCTCAAGGAGTTGCCAGCTCTTGAGCACCAGGCCAGCACATTCCACACATGCTATCAAGGCACGGCTGTACTGCCGCGGCGGCCGCACAAGGACCTCCCAAATTATCTGGCTCGCATGCTTGCTTGGTTGCTTGAGGCCACTAGACACATTGACCTTTTGGGCGTCGCTGAGCCTCTGTTAGCTGAGCTCTGTGGGCTCTGATGGCTCTCCGCAACAAGCAACATTCAGCAATACGAGAACAGCGCCGCTGATAGGCAGGAATCCGGAAACCCCTTGCAGGCACCCCTTCAGCGAACCGCCTTGAGAACTATATGGACAACAACCCTCATTCCCGTCAGCGCTGTCCCCGTCATCTCCGGCATTCTTATCACAAGCATCAGCATCACCCACAGCCTTTGTCATCTTCGAGGTCGCCGCCGTCCTCAGCGTTATCATCATCTCACCAGCATCATCATGATGATTGTCATCGCCTCAGGCCCGGTGCCAGCAGCTCCTCTACAAGGGGCCGCAGCACCGCCCAAGTGGCCTCGAGCGCGTCCAAAGCCTTCAGTGCGATTGGTGAAATACCCATTCCAGTATTTCCCGGCACTGCTCAAGTCATGTGACATCTGACAGTGGGCCCTAAGGGGGCCTCCTCTGGGAGCCTGCTTTCCCGCGGCAGAGCAAACAAAGAGACATCTCGTCGCAACAGAAAGTGTGCAAACAACACTTCACAGTCACACCTCCTTGGTTTTCTTCGGTCGTGCGGACACTCGGCTCATCACAATTTGCCGTGGTAGCCACATTTTGGCCATTCCCGGGTGTCCGACCTCGGTCTCCTCTGCGCCTGCAACTTGCCGAGTGGCCTCGCGCAGCTCTGCCCCGTCGCCTTTCCGGAGGCACGATGGGTTAAGGCCGGGTTCTGTGCGTGGCATGCGCCGGGTTGCAGTTCCCGCAAGATGTCCAGGAACAGGGTCTTACAAGGGCAGGAGATGGTAGGGGATATCGGGTACATTAGGTATGAACCACCAGCTGCGCCGCCTTCTGCATGGCGATGGTTGAGTAGCTGATATGGAAGCAGCGCAACCTCCACCCCCATGACTCATGACATACTGGGGCGATTCTGCCGCAGGACTCAATGACGTGCCTTCGCCCTCTGTACAAAGCTTGGGCGCGGTGGCGGCTGGCGCAGGTGGAAGCGCACCTGCGACCTCGAAACAGCCAATCACAGAAGAACCATCTGCACGTGACCAATCCAGCAACCGCAACCGCAACGACAACAGCATCATCATCGCCATCATCATCATCATCAGCAACAACGACAACAACAACACCACCAGCAGCAGCATTCATGCGGTCCCAAGCACAAGATAGCACTAGCACGTACTAGCATCACCTTTCTACGTTGATTGTTAAACAAACAACTCGTTTTGTGGGGTTTGCGGCTGCAACCTGATGGCATAAGCCCCTGAATATCTCTTATCTGCTTCGTTTATCATCCTCGCAGGCCTAGCGAATTGCAGTACGTAAGCACCACAGCCAGCCTCTCGGAATAATGCATGACGAAGACCTGCCAACAGGTTTATAGTCGGCAAACGTGGGTCACGTCATGCGCTCGAATGGTAGTCAGGTATCTGTCTTTGCTGCTGCACTGCCCCTATCGCAAGTGGTCGCCCATGTAAGATAGAAAAGCGCAAAACTAATGGGGAGAATAATGATAAGGACGTTCTGCTGCGGCTACAACCAGCCATATTCACTCTCCTTACAATGCAAGAAGTTCACTGTGACCTGCATCAGAAAGTGGATGAGCCTAGCCTCGGCAGAAGGGCCGTGGTGCAAGACGGCAAACGGATCCGCTTGGCACTCTGCCTGTTCCAGCGATCGAGTAGAGCAGCCACCGGATGTCAAGCCAAGATCAGTCAGGACACTCTAAGTCGAGCAACTGCCCAATTCTCGTGCTGAGTGTTAGAGTTAGAGGTACACTCCAAATCATTCAAACATTCGGGCTCAGCCGCTGCATCCCAGCCTCTGGTCTCCGGTGTGTTCGATCATGATGGAGCCAGCGCTTGCACTTTTCTAGTGCGGCCTCCAGAACTGGAACCTGAGACACGGCCCGTGACGAAAGCAAGGTCCACTCGGCTTCATCCGCCTGCGAGTGCGAGAGGTTCAGCGTCCATGAACTGAATTCAGGACCGGCCATGCCGGTCCAAACCACGCGGAAGAGGCTCCATGCATGCCCCGGCAGAAGGCTTGAGCTGAATGAGCGTTGGAAGCATTCCAAAGGCAGAAATTGTAACTTCCAAGTCGGGATGGCACCCGCACTCGAGGCCGTGGCGACACGACAACGGCGGTGAGGCCCTGCTTGTGCGCTACCGGCCAGACATGTGCCTGCATCGTGTCAGGCTACTCGCGCATACGTTTTCCACAAGAAGCTCGAGACCCACTGCATGTACGCGTCGGCCTCCAAGCCACATCTGGGCAAGCAGGTCCTTTCTCGAGAGATGCATCTTGCCGAGCAGGGGCTAGAGGCTAAGAAAAAGCCGAGGAGGGCGCCCAAGAACGTGGCATTCCAAGCTCGGCCCACACCTTCCAATGTGCACGATGATGTGGCAGCAGCAATGCTCAGAGGAAGAATGACACAGCAGCACTGAAAACACAACGTGATGGCGTTGCAGAACATCTGGTAATCATGAAGGACGTGACTCAATCTAATGCATAGCAGTAGATGCTCCGGCAACGCGAAATGATGCAGCATGAACGGCAAAACGATCATCAGTGACCGGTCGAAACCAAGTAGCAGCGACTAGAAGCACGAGGATAAAACTGACCGCCTTAACCGGAGCGACAACCTGGACTCACCCATCCATGCACTCAGGAGACATGAAGCATATATCCTGACCGGCTCTGACATCTCGGACGCTCAATGCGGGCAAAAAGACATCTCGTCATCTCGCCCTTTGCAGTGAGGCTGCCATATCCTAGTCGTCCAAACCCAACAGCTCGCATCCCAATGTGAGAATGGAGAAGCACCCTCACCTCGACCGCGACCTCTCACCGTTTGTCCCTGCGCGACTGGGCGTCCGGCTCACAGAAGTCGGCTGCCATCTCCCGGAAGTTGCTGCAGGCCTCCGGCTTTCAATCTTGATGATTTGTCCTTCGTGCGACACACCCTGTCGATCTCCCCATGCCTTCTCACACTGCATTGAGGCTCGTTTCAAGGTCAGGTGACCTGTCAGAGATGGCATACCCATTCGGCTCTGCGACTGTCGTCCGCTCACTGTTTTCCGTGCCTATGTCTGCAAGATCTTCATGGGAGAGAGCTTCTGCAAAGTTCACGAAAGGCTCCTCGAACATACGAAGGTTGCAGATCCACGAACTCAATCCGAATTGAAGGATCCTGCGTGATGTTGAGAGGATTCATGCTCAGCCTTGGCACTGCACTTTAAAATAGTGCAAGCTTTCCATATCTGTCCGCGCATGTTTGACAGGTACGGGGGGCTCACACATGGCCGAGGATGACGTTCTGCCAATCAAAATCTGGCCTCGCCGTGTGCGTTTACAGCGTTGACAGTCAGCACGCCCAAGGTTTATGCGATAGTTTATATGAAACGAGGCGACATTCTTGAACCCGGACCGATTCCATCTTGGCTCCGTGCATGTTGCCACCTGGCCTGTGCCACACGGGACCCCAGTTGGGGCAGACGTGCGGCGGCACCTCAGGTTGGTTCTCAAGAACTTTCCAACTTGAGCCGGCAAGTCAACTAAGGTCCCCCGCGCCCTGGCCATGCGGGCCGAGGCCCGCAGCGGTGCCCCAGACCCGCAAGCTGCCATCGAGGCCTATTACTCTTCAGCACAAAATGTTCGCTGTTGCCCGTGGGGGGGTGGGGGAGTGCAAAGTGGAGGGGTCTCAAGTCTTGTATTGCAATCTCAAGTCTTGTAAGGTTGAGGGCAACTTCAAGTTGTTAAAGGTTGGATGAAAGCGAGGTATGAGCACACAAGACTAGTGACTCGTAATTGAGACCGCAGCATGTAAGCTTCCTGAACTTCCTGAGACTCGCCTGCTGATGCCAGCCAACTACCATCGGGTGCCCAAGCCAATGCCTGGCACGACTGTGCATCGTGCATAGCCGAATACTGGCGTTGATGTGTGATTGTACTTCGGTGAACAATCATGCATGTACTGTGCAACAAGCATCGCCTGCACGTGGTCGAGGTGGCCGATCAGCCTTGCAAAACTACAGCACAAATGCTCGCTGCTAGCGATGCATCGTGGTAAAGAAGTCTTTTTGGTCGACCGTACGCAGGAGTTGTAAATGCCGGAGCTGGAACAGGCCGCGCTGTTTCCGTAGCTGCGACGCTTCAAAGCAGTGAAATGATTGGTCCCTTGCGTTGCGGTAATCTCCGGGACTGCTGGCTTCCATATGCGCACCACTCCGTCCTGAAGATCCGCTGCTTGCGGGCGTGCAGAGATGAAATGGAGAAAGTTCCTTCTAGAGTCATTTCGGCCTCGTATCCAGCGGCAAGCCGTCGCTCGGAGCCGAGGGGCTGCGAAGCGTAGGCGGCAGCTACCACAGGACCTCGACGGAGTCGCACTAAGACACGAAAGGAGTCGTCTTCTTCCTTTGGCTTTGAGGCCTGCGCTCTTGGACACGGTGAGGAGCGACACTGGGGGAACACTCGCCGCGGCCCTGCACTGCAACTGTCTATTGAATGGATGTCTTAAAGGCTTTTCTACTTGACACATCCGCTTTCCAAAAGAGCTCATCACCGACCAGCCATCGAAACTTTAGAAAGTGGCAGTGGCTGGGGACGACACCCCGGCGCGTCAGACCTCATCAACACCTGCCAGGGCGATCCCAGAGGCATCGTCACTCGGCGGTTTTACGCCTTCTTAGCAGGATGCACTGGCATCCTCGATCCTGTGGAGTATGAAGATAGCTGCTTCGACAAACAGCACCCCTTCACGCCTGGAAGGCCTTGCCAGCAGGAGTCCAGTAGTGCGACGGATGTGAGCAATCCTGGCAGCATCTACTATAGCACGGACCGAATTCTCATTGGCTAGCTCGGCCACATGTGGCAGCCGCAGCCGTAAACAAGTCAAGCCCTTTCGTCGCAGCGCTTCGCCAGCGTGCTTTCTGAGAGCCCAGCATACGCGGGAAGCGCTCCACAAACGCAAATCTGGTAGATTCCGAGGGTGTAGGTACCTCGGAGGTTGGAGGAGAACTTGGAAAAAGGTTCCGAGAGGTTTGGAGAGGCTCTGGGACTCTAGAAATACAGGCTGGGGCCCCTGCGCACGGCACCCAGTGAGTCGACACCTCCGCACACCATCTTCCGCTCCAAGTCCTCTGCGCCGGCCTCTCCCAAACACACCCCTCTTGGGCCCTGCGGACCTTTAGCCTAGGCTTTGCCTGAGGCCCGAACGTTCGGATCCTGCCTGCACTGGAGAGCACCGAACCCGGACTCCGAGCTCACGACCTCGACTTCAGGGCAGCCAAAGGATCCAGAGATGGGCGCTCGTGTGCTGAGGTGCCAGCTCCACCCGGAGCTAAAACGTCAGGAATGCCCTCACGGATAACCCAAAAGGCTAGTAACTAGGAAGCGCACTGTCCGGGGATTCTATGCAGAGGCTAAGGAATACGTTTGCTCAATCTGGCCTCGCCACAGACTTCGGATGCCTTGAGCAACAGGATGCGATCCACCTCCAGCTCCCACGGCTGTCGCAATGCTTCTCGTGCGTTCTCAATCATTCCCTCAAGATGCAGTGGGTGATGTGGGTGAGGCTGCAACCGTCCAGAACAGTGAGTAGTGCAGGGACCGGGACTCTCTTTGCACCCGCTTGAAAAAATGTGACAATGCGTGGGTTCGATGGCCCTTAGCCCTCGCAGCACGCCCCGCGAAACACTTCGTTTTCGCACTTCGTTTCATGGCAAGCACGCAAAAAGGATCACCGTCGGACCGTATCCGCGAGAGCATTTCCAGTTTGGACTTTGTTGGCTCAGGGTCTCCCAAGTCCTCCCATGCACTTCAAGAGTTTACATAAGGCTCAGGACGTCCCGGTCCCAGGGCATAGAGCATGGGCACTGAGACACTCACCGAGCCTTGAGCCTTGCTACCCAGTATCAGTAGCTTCTCCTTGACCAAACGAGGTTCCCCGCTGCCATTCAGACTGCTTTCATGGCACCCCATGGAACCGTTCTACAGATGTACCCGATCTACCCCTTCCTCCCTTCGTACGCCCGGGAGCACCTCTGGCCTGAGACCAATCGCAGACACCTGAGCTCGGCCGTCGGAGCTCGGAGCCCTGAAACATCATATTATACTATACTATACTATATTATATTCTATTCTATTACATTATATTGTATTATGCTATACTATACTATATTATATTATATTTCTCTGCTCCAGGCTGGGGCCCCAGACTTGACTTGAAGCTAGGATCGATCAATGACGTCCGCTGTGAACATGTGAAACTTGCAAATCCGGAGCTTTGGGGCCCCCGCATGGATAAGAATCGGCTCCTCGGCTCGAGGGCATGCACTGGACCTCAGCTGGACGAAAGCGCACATACGCTGCTGACTCTTGCCCAAGGTTTGTGCTCGCTGCCGCTTGTCGGACATGTGGGGTGCCGGCCAGCCATCACGAATCCGGAGGCTGGCAAAGGTCCCGAACTGGCATCAGCTTGGGGGTAACCCGAATATCGGAACAGCATGTTTGTCCCAGGAGGCTGCCTCGGCGTAGAAGTCCTCAGACGTCTCGCAGTCGCTGCGCTCCGCCTCGGACTTGGCTCAGGGCCACTCTCTGACAGAAAACCAGCGAAGCATCCGAGATGTGGGCGCCGCCCTGCTGGGCCCCAGGGCACCAGCACACACGGAAGATCCCACCGGAGACCACTCGCCTCCGCACGTGTCAAGTCGAAAGCTGCGACTGGTTTCATCTCATGCACTTAGTGTTTCACGAACAACTGCCCCCAGGTTGAGGCGAGATATCCCAATTCATGACAACGTAAGCGTTTGTAGCCTGAAGCCACTACAGAGAACTCCGAGGGCCACGCAGCTCTGGCCAGGTTAGCTTGGTTTGGCCATCTGGCAGACTGCCTGAAGCAACTCTCGCTACCCGGGATCTGGTCCATCGGGTGTCCGGAAGTGTCGGTACCGGCACGTGCTGTTGGATTCAAGAACAGTTCGACGGCTTAACAACGACGCTTGAAGCTACCTCCATGCCAATGAAAGCTGAGAGCCTACGATTCCAGGCGTGCTCGGAGAGTCTGCCAAAGGTCCACGCCTCGGAGATTGTCGAACAATAAAAAGGCTTGTGGCTTAAGCCACGGTCGACGCAATTTCTGCTTCATGCTGCATCTGCATTCCTTCAAAATCCCGAGAGCCACGGAATGGTTGCACGTTCCTTTTTCTCACGTTGTGCCTGACTGCAGGAAAGCTTGCAGGGCATGGAGGGCCATAGGGTCTTCTGGAGCTAGGGATAGCGCGGTCTGGTAAGCGCTCAAAGCCGAAGAAGTCGTGTGGACATCATGGCAAGGTTGCTTCTCGCAGAAAGCGCCGCCCAGCCAGCGGTGGAGCTGTGAGGCACGAGGGTCGCGCTGCAGAGCCTGACGGAACTCAACCACCGAGTCGGGGGCTCGTGCGATCCCGGAATCGGCCGCATCTTCCCCCAGCCACCATTCAGAGGCCAAGACCTGCCTGTTGCCAGCCACCACCGGCGTGGCACGGTGCAGAGTCCACCCGCGCCAGGCAATCGCATCGCCTGCCTCCAAGTCGACGTGATGCTCCAGCCTCACTCCTACTACTTCTGCTGTTTTTCTCGGCGCGGAGGCGGATCGCGGCGGCCGCTGCCGTGCGTCGGCCATGACCTCCAGCACTTGCGTCCTATCCAACGCGGTAAGTTGCGAGGGTTCCGGCGGGCCGTGAGGGCCGTTGCCATAGTCTCTCAGCTCAACAGCGCCACCCTCGTACGAACGCCTGTTGCTGAGAACGACCAGCAAAGTCAGTAGTGTGGCCCCATCTCCATGCCACGCCACCTTAGTATAGCTGTCTTCAGACAGCCCGCCCGCAAGTCGCAGAACCCTCGTCCCTGACTGCACATAATGTCACTAGATGGGCGCATCCAGGCTCTGTTCACGAAAACCGGCAATGGAACCAAAACACGGCATCGTCCCGACCAAAAGAAACGGGCACAAAATTGCACAAGGCGTCATGCCCGACAATGCATGTCCCGTCAAAAAGAGAAAACCTAGCCCCGGATCGAAGATTAACGAGCCACCGGTTCAGATCTCCATGCTCCTCGATACGTCAGAAGCTCCAGACACCTGCAGCTCGTGCTTTCAGCCCTCGGAGAGTTCTTTGAGAGGCTTCGGGGGGGCTCGAAGCGTCAATCAGCTTATGGTCGGCTCCTGCCTGGCCCTCAGAGGCTGACCGCGGCTGAGGTTCCATCCCGCCTAATACAAGGGGAGTGCTGCGATAGGTGGGAGCACCGGCGCAGCAAGGGTTCGTGGAAAGAGCTTACACCTTTTGTGTGGAAGTGACATCTGTGCAAGCTGCTTGGGAGGAGCGCAAGGGCATGAGACGAAACACACAGGGACCTGCACGGAAGAAAAGACCGAGGCGCGAGATGGCACGAGGCTGGGACATGCTGAGACCAAGACTGCAGGCTGCCCCAATACAACACGCAAAATCTATGTCAAGATCCAGCAATATCCAGCACGGACCTTCAGAGCTCAGGACGGACAAAGCAAGAAGAGGCTGCTGCACAGTGGGGGGTTGGTGGCACTTCCTTGTCCAAGCGTCTGCAGCATCCGCGGCCATGGCCAGCTCGAGCAGCCGACGTCGCCTTTATCTCACAGGCGTGATCACGACTGCGACTGCGAACTCTGCCCATGGGAACGCTCACGCCATTCCCCCGCAGCTGGTCACTCTACCGGGATCAGAACAGTGTCCGCTTCGGCAGGCACTTTATTGAGGAGAAGGCAGCAAATCTGTAGATTTAACCTCTGCTCAGGGGCAGCTCTGGTGCAGCGATGTCGATGTGGTTGTGGAGAAAGATCGTCTCGTGGCCTACAATTGAGACAAGCACTATCCGCAGTTCCGCATGCACAGGCGCACACTAAGCGCAATGTCTTGCTGCGACTGAGCTCCAGACTCGCGCCACCAGCGCCAAAGCTTCTGTTTGAAACCAAGTTTGCCTGCTGTCCCGGACCCCAGAAGTCCAAACCTCAGATCCGAGCCTTGACTCGGCCGTAAACAACAAATGCTCAAGCCAGTTCCAAGCAACTCATCAACACACTGTCGCTCTGCAAATGCCATGGCATCCAGTCCACATTCTACCACAAAGTCGCGGCAAGCTCACTGCTGCCAGCTGTTGACTAATCTCCTCATAAACGCCCCTCCCTCTCGCACCTTTATCTGCAGTACAAACTAAACCGAACAGCATCACGACCTTCAAGCTTCGCACACCTCAATCCGTAAAGTTGTGTGCCTCCCCATGGTCTGGATCGGATTCGCTTCGCCAGGTTGAGCGCTTGCCGCCGCGCCCCACTTGAAAAGGCAGCCTTCAAGCGCACCTCGGCAACAAGTCTTCGCGATGTGTCTCTATACACCTTCGCAGCATTTGTTAGAATCTGTTAGAACGTGCACGCTCGCCGACGGCTTCCGCTGTCACCACATCGTCAACTGCTACGGTTCGCCGTATGCTGACACATAAATCTACATATTCACGTCCACCTCCCGGTGTGATGGACCCGCTTGGAAGGGGGGGGGGCCAGCAAATCTGACTGCATGACTGCAGCGCCAACAACAACCGCATACCGCCCCAGTTGAGATGAGAGGCGGACAGTGGCATGCAGACACTGCTCTGCGGTTGAAGGGCTACCAGCAGCCCACAAAACAGAGTAAGCCCATTGCCTCTTGTCATTCTATACGAGCCGGAAACGGCTCGGCCCAAGAACAGCCGCATGTTGCTTCCAAAATCTTCCAGTACTTCCCACGGTTGCCCAACGTCTAAGCTTGCGGCAGCGCATCCGTGTGGTGTTCCGACCTGTGGTGCTTCCGAGCCCGAGCCCACAACGAGCTTGTGAGCTTCTGAGCTTCGGACCCGGGGTGCCCACATTCCAAGTCGTAGTCCACAATGCGCACCTGGGGAAAAAGGAGCGTTTCACACTGAAGGCCCCTCAAAACCGCGCAGCGATTTCGCTGTGTTCCTGGCGCGGTCGTCCTCCGAGAGCTGGGGCCCCTGGAGCACTCGGTTTTTGGAGGGTTCCCTGTGCTGCTAGCGACTGCTAGCGGCTAGTAGCGTAGCAGTAGCAACGACCTAAACTTGAAGATGTCAAGATACCCAAGGTACCCAGTGTAGCCTCGAAGTCAGCACTGGGCCAGAAACTGAATGCTCTAAGCGCGCCACGATCAAATCCAGCGAGAAGACCACATGCGGCACAACTCTCAGCCTCATGCAATCACGGCATGTGTCCGGCCCCGAAGCGTTGTGAGTTTCCCCGGTCCCTCTGAGATGCGGCCACGCAGGATAGAGTATCAATGTTGGATGTATAGTGGCACTTCGCTAACCCATGCACAGGTCCAATTCCGGTTTGCAGTGGTGTAACAGCAAGAAGTTTGTTTCATCGTCGCGACATCTTTCCGCGCAAGTTGCCCTGTAGCACTCCACTCGATGCACATGCCTTGACGCGCATTCGGAGGCAGTTGAGGCGGCTGCTCGAAGCCCCCAGATCTTTCCAAGCCTTGTCGCCGGGCACGCACATGTTTAGGCATCAAGCAAGACAGGCCGACAAGGAGACACTTTGAGGCCCTTGCGCAGGTCGGGCCAGAAAGCAAAAACACTGCCTCGAGAGCACGATTGATGCCAGCATGCAAGCGTCTTCCTAGATGCCTCATCTGTGGCCCAAACCGATCTCCACCTGAAAGTCGATGTCGCTGGAACATGTCCTTCCTGCGCTAAGCTGAACATGGGTCAACTTGGCATATAGAGGAAGCGCTTGCCAGCAGCACGCTGGAGCTGCCCCTGAAAATGGAGGTGTTGGGCGATGGATCAGACAAAGCACGCTCCAGCCACTGTCCTCTGCCCGAGCAAAGGCAGACATAGTACTGACCACTCCGCGAGAGAATCAGAGGACCCCACCTCGGCAGCATTGCTTTTCCAGGAGATCTAATTATGCTATGACCGTGGGCCTTTCAGCAAGTTGCCGAGATTTCAAGACCATGTTCCACCGATGCGATACCATACGTTACGATACGATACGTATCTCATCGTGACGTATGTACACAGGGGCGAGAGAGCGAGAGCTAGAGAGAAAGAGAGAGAAGAGGAAGAGACAGGCAGGCAGACATACGGACAGAGAGACAGAGAGAGAGAGAGAGAGAGAGAAGGGAGATCTGCGACCAAAACTAACAATCCCAACTTGCTCAACATGCACTACGTATGGCCTGCTCGTGCGCTAAGTGCATGCCACTCGAGCATCTCAATTCTGATCTAGATGTTTTGAGATAACCTCAAAGCAAAGCCTTCGAAATCGGCCTTCTGTACTCTCCGAATCCTGTCGCCGCAACGATACATTTCTCCCGCACTCCATGATCTTCTCAACTGCCTCGGGATCTGAGCGTCCGGCGTCTGGGCGAAGTTGGGGTCTTCACCGGTGCCAGGTGCATCCGGGTCCTGCCAGCGCTTGTCGGCCCACGTGACTTTGATTGACTTTGCCTACATGAACAACGGTACCTGCCAACATGGTTGCCAGGTTGGGGGCCTGAGGCCTTAGACTTAGACAGAAAGGAGCCACGCAGTTCCTAGAGGTATCCCATGCTTTTGCTTTTCGGGCCATGGAGTGAGATGAGAGGATCTGCGAGTCGCACCTTCGATGCCAGCTTCCGCAGGAGAAAGCCCAAAGCGGGCATAATAAAAAAAACGTAGGAAGCATGCAGCCCAGGAGGGACTGAAGGATGCAGTCGAGGGTTGTGATTCGGCTTAGGCAATGACAATGGCCATTCCTCATGTTTCGGAATTGCATCATCCCACCAAGATGTACCCATTTGACAGATGGATTTCCAGCTGCAGCGATTGATTTAGTATCACATTGGCAGGCGAGATTCGATGAACAACCATTGCAGTTTTGGTGGCTGCATATCTCTAGGACTCTAGGGCTCTTCTGCATCTTGGAGAGCACTGAGCGTGTCAAGGCGTGGGGCATGTCAAGCACCATGAGTCATGGTACAATAGGCATGTACTTTCGCACATTCGCCGAGCAGCAACAGTCGCAACTGCAGCAACAACTGCGGCGCCATACAACCGGCGCCACGACAACCACCACAACGACTCCTAATTTGTTGGGGAACGCTCAACACATGCAGGTGCACAAAGTTGATCGCCCAACACATCCCAGCTGCCCCCTCACCAGCTGCCCTCTCACCAGCTTCCCGTCCCAGGGCCTCGGCAAGCTGGCCCAGCAAATGCTCCGTGCCATTGAAGGTCCTCGGCATCAAACAACATTTGCGGACAAACAGGCCGCGACTTTTTACACTCCGTTCGGATTCGGCGGGGTGCTCACTTTGAAAATGTTGGCTATCATCTGGACAGCTCGGCTATGCGCTAAACGAATCGACACCTGCCCTCATGGAAAGAATGGTTCAATTGTTCTTTCTGCGTCTCGTCAGCCCAGGCGGGCCACTTGCCCAGCCACTCGCGGTATCATGGGCGCTTTTAGAGCACATCTGCGGGCGAAGGCTAACCCTGTCGTCGCTCTCGGACCTACATCGAAGCCGCGACCTTACACACTGTTACACCGAATGTCATGGCAAGCTGGGGCCAGGTCCCCTCTTGACCACACTTGAGGGGTGCCAGCACCTTCCAGGCCAGGACCAGGAGCTCAAGCTCAACGTCATGAAGCCCCAGACACTGCGATCTTTGCCCTTTTGGGCTCCGAAGGCTCCCTGAGATCTCCCGAGGCTTGGGCCAAGCGAAGCCTCTGCGAGTTGCCGTCGCCGAGGCCAAAGCCGAGCACCTTGGAGGCTCCCCGCGGCTTTCAAGGAACCACCGAGCTCCACAAGAAAAGTGTTCTCGGGCACCTTCTACGAATAATTAGCTCTTCGAGTCGGTCTCTCTTAAGGTGAGATTCTGCCAGTAAGAGTACTTCTGACGCCAGATGTCACCAGCATATTTGAGCCACCGGCTTTCAAGGAGAAGTTCGTCCCGACCTGACGCACATGTAGGCTTGGACACCACGATCATGTCAGGCAGCAGTCCGCCAAGTGTGGCGGCTTCGCAAGTGTGGCCAAGTACCCCAGGCGGACTAGGGAACGCAAGAGCCCATGCACACAGTCGGCGCCTGAACTTTTCGCCGATCAAAGCCCTCGCCTCCAATGACCTGCTTTTGGATCAAACTCGAGGCTATGAGACGTTCAGACGCACAGGCTATCAAAGCTGTACTACTTCGCCGGCGTTGCTTCTCCGCCTAAACGCCATGCAGCGCTTCGCAGACCGGGCTTCCGTAGCAGCTCCGGAATCGGATTCCGCTGATTCCGAGAGTCGACGAAGGAAGCTCCGAAGTCTCTGCCCGCTTTTCGGGCCTCCAAAGCCGTGGGTCCGGCGATGGAGAAGTTGCCCAGGTCGAGGTTGAACCTCCGGGTTTTCTGGGCTCTCTTGAAGCGAGTTTTGTGTTAGTGCATGACACAGCAACTGCTCAGTCATAGCGCCTAGATGACATGAGCATGACCAAGAACCCCGAGTTTTGAAGCCACGTCTTTGAAGGCGGGCGGCGGGCTCTAATCCATGAGCTCTGCCCTTGTCTTAACTTTGCGACCCGCCCGCTGAGCTGCTGGCATCGCATCGGAACTGCAGAGAGGTGCCTCCCGGCTCTGCCAAGGGAGGCGTTCGAAGGTAAGGACCCGAGGCTTTTGGGATGACCCTGAGCTGGGCTGCAAGCTGAAACATTCTCCGGCATGTCTTCCATCATCGTCATCGGCATCTGATTGTCGGGGCCGTCCATGGGCAGCATGCTTTCATTGCTGTAGTTGCTGTCGTTGTCATCCATATCATCGCCGTCACCTGAGTGCACAGTCGAGGGAGTGCTTCCGGGCATACCTGCGCCACACCTTTTGTGGTTTTGCTTCCGGAACAATAGGGGTGTCTCTGGCTCGACCAAGGGGATGTCTATGCGTCTATCCGGCCCAACCATGATGAAGGCCCCGAAGACTTGGTGCCCGCACTTTCGGTCATGTTGGTCTCGTTGGTTAGGTTGCCGCCTGACCGAGCACGGAAGCTCAGCTCACGAAGCAACTGTCTCCAAGCGAGCAACATTGGCAATTCATGAGGCCTGCCGAGTCCACTCCAGCCTGACTTCTGCATGAAAGCCCACCCGTCATACTTCTTCCGTGCTCGATGCAGCACGCGGACAGAAGGAATAGGTCCTTCAACCTGCTTTTTGTCCAGCGCCACGTGTTTCAGACTCCGAACTGCAGCCAGAAACCCCCCGCATGTGATCTTCGCACGCGAAACGGCTGCAGGCCTTAGGCTTCAGGCAAGAACCATGGCTTGAGCTCCGACAGCTGCTGAAAGACTCGCGTGGCCGTCTCCTTGTCCTCGCTCCTGAGCTGATGCACGATGGCTTTGCAGATGCTTAGATGATGATTGACTCAAAAGAATCCTGTTCTGGCGGCAAACGAGCGAAAACTGCGAGCAAAAACTGCTCAGAACAGCCTTCTAACACATCTCAGGCTCTTGTCCGGGTGCCATTGCAGACAAAGGGCTCGCCTGCAACACCCACCCCTTTCACCCCTTGCCGGCTACCATTAAAATTCAGAAAGACTGGGACGCTGCATGCGCTGCACTCATGGTAGCGGCGGTCTGAGGCTGGAGCCAGGCGCGCTTGCGTGACTCGAGAGGCTCGTCTCTGTGTTCCAGCAGCTCCTGCAAAAGCTGTCGGCCTTCAGCGGATGCTGGCCAGAAGGGCGGAGCCGGTGCAGGCGGCGGAGGCGGAGGCGCTGCCCCGGCCCGGTGCCTTGCATTCCCAGGACCCTCTCGCTCACCAGCGCCAGCTCGCGGTGGACGCGGGCTCCACTTTCGCCCGTTCTCGGCCTTACCCTTCTCAGGCTTGGGGATGTAACGAAACCACCGAGTTCTCCAGTAGTTGTCGGTGTCCCTTGCCGTTCTCGACCAAGCATCGCGCTCGGCCTCCTCTTTCTTTTTCTGAGTCTTGCGTGCGAGGTCCTCTTTCCACTCCTCCTGGGCATTCCGTCGCGCTTCGATCTCAGCCTGCTCTTGCTCGATCTGAGCTTGGAGCTCTCGGCGTTCGCGCTCCGCTTCTGCCTGGAGCTCTTGAAGCTTTCGCTGGTGTTCCAAACGCCGCAGAAACTCCCGGTGCTCGAAGGCCTCGTGGGAGACCCCGGCCCTGCGGCTATCGGATCTGTTCTCCTTGCCGACTTCTGGGCCCGAGCCAGGGACAGGCTCAGGTGGCACAGGGCCATGTTGGGCTTCGGCGGCTTCGGGCCCTTCGTTTGCGCGCTCCGGGCCGGGGTCCTGCCGGCGCCGGCGACGAGCGGCTTCGGCTTGGCGCTGCAGGCGCCGTGCGGCGCTCTGCACCTGCGCCACTCCAGTGCTCGCCGCGCTCTGCATCGGCTCGGTGCCGGCCAAGAGGGATTCGAAGAACTCCAGCGCTTCTTTGGATGGAGGCTTGCTGGTCGGGGTCCTCTCTTGCGGCTTCTCGAGCAGCTGCTGCCTCTGCTGCTCCAAGAACTTCGGCATGCACTGCCATCGCTGCCAACTGGACTTGTAACTACCGGAGTGTGTTTCAAGCGCACAATCGATGGAGCCATCGTGTGCCCGTGACTCTGCCGTCTCCTCTGACAAGCGTTCGCTTTCTGCGGCTTGCTCGGGCTCCTTTCGGAAGGTCGTGCTGGACGACTGCCCAGGCTGTGCCTCATGGACGTCCGCACCGCAGGCCATCCCTGGCCCTAGCCATCATCCCTGGCCTCCTTAGAGCTCATGCCGAGCCCGAACACTTTCGATTCGAGCCAGAACTACAGTCAGAAGCCTTACCGTGCGGCTTTCGACATACACGTGACGCTTGTTTCTCATGGACGGTCATGGTGCATCTTGGGTCTGAGCTGCCGCCAGCTGCCGCTGAAACACCACGCCATAGTCCTCAAGTCAGGCGACAGCCTACGGAATCGGATGGGCCGAACGCTCTCTGCAACAAGGCCTCCCAAGAGAATTCGTAATCCCATCCGGTGAAATTCGAGTCATTGGTCGCATTCCTCTAAGGAAACCGAACAGTGGAGCAGAAATTTTGGCACAGGAAGCTTTCGTACCAAGCTCCTGGCGTCAGGTTAACCTGCACAACGCGAGGGTCACATGCCAGCTTGGTGACGGCTTCAGCTTCGCCCCGGTTTTGCAACGGAGACTGTATGTAATTTGTAACTGCGCATGCCTCGCAATTCGACACATGCACACACACACACACAGACACAGACACAGACACAGACGCAGACAGACAAACACACACACACACACTCACTCACACACTCAAGCGCGCACACACGGACACACTCTCGCACACACTATGTATAGACACGTGTGCATATGCTTGCTTGCACTTGCGCCTGCACGTGTGGATGCATGCATGCATGCATGCATGCATGCATGCATGCATGCATGCATGCATGCATGCATGTATGTATGTATGCATGTATATGTGCGTATGTGTGTGTGTGCGTGTGTATGTATGCATGCATATATGTATGTGTGTATGTCTGTAACTCTGTCGGTATGCATGTAAGTATGTATGTGGCTGGGCACGTAGGCAGCCAGGCAGGTATGTAGCTAGGTAGGTAAATAGGTAGGTAGGTAGGCAGGCAGGCAGGCAGGCAGGTCGGTCGGTAGGTAGAGCGGTAGGTATGTAGGTGGGTAGGTAAGGAGGCAGTTAGACAGGCAAGCAAAAGCATTGCTGGTACTTCCCCCGGCCTCTTCAGGAGGGTAGGGAAACAAGTCGGTCAGGTCAACCTTGCCGCACGGGTTCAGCTAGTGTTGCACACTGTGGTGTTTTCCATCATCGGTCTCGTGCCGGATTCTCCCCTGCATTGTTTGTCCTGACAAAGCAGTGGTGACAACAGTAAGCTCGGCACAAGCATGCGAAAACACAAACAAGCTTCCAAGTCCCACCTCAGAGCAGAACACCAGCAGACCTCAAGTGGGTGTCCGTCATTTTGGTCCATTCTCGCATGTCAACAAAGGCATCAACAAACATGTTGCAACTCCTTTTTTCCCAGGTCGCTGCTTCGGCTATCGGCCTGTGACTTCACGAATCGAGTCTGGGGAGCATACCCGGTACGTGCCCGCAGTCGTGGTCGCCAGATCCGACCTGGCACGAGGCTCCGCCTGCCAAAGCTCTGTTGCAACAACGGCTCAGCAGCCGAGCAGAGAGCAGCAAACCCAAAAGTCGAGGCTTGAGCCAGATCAATGAAGCATTCTCACCAGTGGGGTCCACCCCTTCTTCCAAGGGCGCCTCGGCTCGATCTCTGCAACTTGCATGGTGATGAGATGCATTGTGTGATGCAGAGAGCACAGCATTCAATAAGTGGCAACTTGTTTCAGACGAGAGCCGCAGCAAGAGTGAGGCAAAGAGTCTCTGGGGCATTCAGCTCATCTTGATGCAAGCCGGCATTCTGGTTCCGGGACTAGCTCAAGAAACGAAACGAAGAGTACGATCAATTATCTTGTAACCCAGAAAATCGTGCCAACCACCAGGTCACGTCGACTACTATACCAGCCAGGGGGCGCGTGCGCACCGAGTCAAAGACCAAGGAAAGAGAACCACACCAGAACATTGACCGAACAGTGATAAGCAAACCGGCTCGTAGATCTTCTCTGGAAACATGTCGCAGCTCACCCCGGCACCGTCGCAGTTCGAACATCTTGTGTTCGCAGCCCTCCCTCTACCAGACATCAAGTTTGTGCCTGAATGTTTCAGGACCCGGGCCCTGAGTTCAGGATGATAGCCTTGTGCATCCTGGACCTCGAGCTGGCCCACCTGCACCGAAAGCATGGAATATTAGTGTAGCATATAGATTCAATATTATGCTTTTCAGTATGGGTCTATAATAACGAATAATCACGAATAACTCGATCTTATGCTATATTTTAATATTGTGTATGCCATGGTCTACTTGAAGTGAGAAGCTGCGTAACTCACGGCCCAACCAACTCTTGGAGGGCGCACGGTGCTTGGTTGCCCCAAGGATGCAATCACCTGGATCCCCGGCTTGACCTCAGAAACTGACCGAGCACTGTCGGGGCTGGAATTTCCGGCCAACGCTTCGACTTCTCAGGTACCGTGGAGATTCAACCATGCCGCGGACCATAGATCAAATGCAAAGCACGAGCTGGGCCCCATGCAGACGCCGCGGTCGTGCCCACACCTGGGCCCAGGAAGGCCTGCCCAAGGCTCTCTCTGTCTCTTTGCCAGGGTAGACGGCCAGAGAGCGACTCTGACCCCGAGTGCGATGATGCCAACAACAAGCACTACCTGCTGGAGGAGGAGGGGCGCCCTGGTGCTGGAAGCTGGGGCTCTAGGCACCGAGCCTGACTCGACACCGAGGAGCCCGGACCGCCGCACCTCAGGGTCATATCGATGCTCACAGTCCTAATTATCGTCAGCTTCACCGATCTGAATTTCTTGTCAAGCCTTCAGGACTGCCTGGGGCTACTGCATTACGTCTTCATCCACCACACGAATGCGATCGTAGTCGACCTGGACCGAGGCATTCAGAAGATCTATGTGAACCTATGTAGGAAGGGATACTGTATCAGGCTGGGAGGCTGGGACGAGCCCCTCTTCCTGACGACAAGGCGCCCGAGCCTCAAGGGAGTAGCCCAGCACATTCAAGAGAAATCGATCAAGTACCTGGCGGCTGAAGCAAAACGACGTCTCGGGCTGGATGGGCCGGCAAGACCAGGAAACACGCGCACATAAGGTGCTCGAGGAGATTCCGGATCCTGCATCCCAAACTTCTTGATGTTAGGAACTCGCCTGAAATTCCTGCGAAGCCGTCCAGAACTGGTCGAGCCTGCTCAGGCGGGCTCTCATCCTTGCCAACAAGTTCGAGCGGGCCGACCTCGGCACAGGAACTTTCAACAGCTTTGCAGCGGGCAGAGGGACTCGGATGCCGACCACATGAAGAGGCCCGCCTGCCGGCGACTGGGTTAGCACACTGATGCAAAAGGAGCCTCTACCGGAAGAACATAGCCTTGAAAAGCCCTATAGGACGTAGAGTTCCCAAGCTTTGACTGGCTACGCAGGCTACGCCTACGCACATCAAAGGTTCCCCGAGGCTGCCAGGCTAGGGAAAGCACCTACAGCAGGCTCGCAGACTCGCATGGCAGGCGTCTCTGTCTGATCCGGCCGCCTCTGGCCTCCGAAACTGAAGCGCAAGAAACGAAGCGACAAGGTGTGGCACCAGGCGGTCCTTCCGGCCGGCACCAGCAGGCACTGAAGACACCTCCATGCTCCAGCTTTGACGGATGAGGCTTCTTGGTTATCACCTTGAAGGCTTGAGGTAGAGGCACGGGCTGGACTTTTCCCCAGCCTTTTCCTCTTCGTTCGAGTCAGGTCAGGAGGTCTTTTTTGGGTCTGGGTGGCCGGGGGACCTTTGCTGCCGGCTTCTCCTGCGCCCTCGCTGGCGATCTGGCCCGGGGAGGGAAGTTCCGGGACACTTTGGGCAGTCGGCTGGGATGGAAAACCACAGTCACGCGACAGATTCGTTGCAGGGAGTCTTGCGACAGAATCACTGGATAATAGCCCGCTCCTAAACCGCTTGGAACTGCTGGCCCATCAAGACCATCGTAAGGCTCACTGCCTAGCGAGTCTTGAGCATCAGACGAGGCTGGCACTGCTGAGTTTGTCCGCCCGTCGTCGAAGTCCGCAGCATCTGCGGGGTCCGCGAGCAGCAGTTTCCCTGTGTCAAGCTGGACTTTGTCAACCAGAAACAAGGACCGACACTCGTCGTGCGCCCCAACAGAAGCTACCAGGCTCTCCGCTCCGTCGCGGACCAGCGCTGCGAACTCCACGCGCACACCTGCATCGCGCCCCAGAACCAAACCGAAGTCCGCCAATCTGGCGACCAGCGTCCAAGAAGATCCGGGTTGGGCGGTGTCGATGCAGCAGCTGTGGAAGCCACCGACATTGCCAGGTGCTCTGGAGATATGGCTGAAATGTTGCCAGCCTTCCCCGACAGCTTTGTGGTACTGGCCAGGTCTGCATTGCAGCCCTTCGGGCACCGGGATGAAGCAGATCTTGCCGGCATCGCTCGAGCACCAATAATCAGGCTCGGCTGGGGGCCAATCGCAGCTGTGGGACTGATTGATGTCACGCCTGTCCAAGTGCCAAGGACTTTCCATGGAGCTGAACACTTCGTCAAAAGACATCCCAACAACTGACGGATCTATGCGCCGCAGGTCCGACGAGCGCTCGCCAAGGACCTCTGCAGGGCCAAAGAGCGCGTAGCGCTCGATCTCAACGCTCTCCGTGCGCGTTGGTGCCCCGTGCCATGTGCTGCCCTGCTCCTCCGCCACGGCCCCTTCTGAGGCGACGGATGGAGATCGCCTAACTGCCCGCTCTGGGGTGGACGATCTGCTTGGCGTTGATCTCCTAGCCATGGCGAAACTTCGGCCCTGGTCTAGGCTCTCGGCTTGGAACAGCTCTCAACATCAGTGTCAACGTGTTCCAGTGTCTTTACACCTTCAGCTATCTACACATGGATTTTTACACGTTTGCAGAAAGGTGCGAAGATGTAGGAGGCATCTGAATCTTTTACTTGCAGACATAACCACCGACCCATCTATGTGTCTCCGCTTTAGTCTCGCATATAGCAGCCTTCAACATCCTACAACCCATGCCGCTTCCCGGTGAGTCTGTCTTGAGCTGGTTCAGCCAATGGCTGGCAGCCTAAGCGAGTGCCAATGATCCAATCAGAGGATCGATCAACGAATGAACCGGCCCCTCGGCGACAGAATGGCTCTAATACGGCACAGCACACCCGAACAAACTGCGATGACAGAGATGAAAAGAACCCTGGCTTTTTTCAGCAGCCTCACAGGAAATTCGCATCTCTCTTCATGGATGGCAGTCTCAGCCTCCATCTCTCGGAAAGGACAAGCGCTACAGGGGGCAGTCGCTGTTCGAGACTCGGTGCCTTGGCCTGCTCAATCTGCTGCCTCGAAGGCCCTCCCCAATTGTCTGAAATTTTGCAGTTTTTCCCCAGCTCGTTGCAGAAAACTCGAAACCGCGTCTCCTTCCTCGGCAGTGAGCTCCCTCTTGTTGCATCCGCACTCTTACCGGACGTCTGTGGGGCAGAAGGTGAGCTCATGAAAGCCGAGCTCTGCGAAACACCAGGGTGCCTTTCCAGCTGTCTGTGACCCACACCGGAAGCAGCAGGGGTCTCATAGCCATCATTCCCACGAGCACTGGTTTCATCACCGAGCACGAGCAGGCGGCCCATGAGGCGCACAGATGGTCACACTACAATCCTATGCAGCTGAAGCCGGCGAAGCAATGTCCTCAGCCTTGTGATCCAGCACGCTTCCAACTGGTACCCCAGAAGTCAGAAGCCTCCTGTAGTGAGCCGCAGACCCGGGAAGCGCCAAACCTGCGAGGGCGCTCAGCGAAGGCGACATCCCAGCACGGACTCCCAAAAGACCGCTGTGGCCTCCGAGAGCTCCGTCAGTTCTTCTTCGGGAGCCGTGAAAGTATCCGCCTCTGGGATGAAGCCTTCCTCCCGACGTCGCATCGATGCATGCCATGTCTGGAGACTGCGGAGACTAAGGATCCGTCTAGTGCTCCGGTCAGCGTCATCGACGAATCGCACACCTGCGAAGCAAAGGGAGAGATGTAGCTGCCACAGGACAGTGGCTCACCTTGCCTCACCCTCGACGATGAGTGGACGACCTGGGAGTCTGGGAGAAAACCCGTAGACCCGTAGACCCGTGCCCTTTCGCGCCGAAGGCTGCCTTTTTAGGGCCGATGCCACCAGCCAAGCCGCTCTTCAAGCGTTCACCGATAACCTCGAGTGCCATGCTGGGCTGCTGGCTTCAAGTCAAGGCTCTTGGCCCTCGCCTCCAGCGAGAATCGCTCGTAGATGCCTCAGCTTAGGTCATGTGATGTGGCGTGATATTTCGGACCAAAACCGTCAGCTCTATTGAAACCTCACAATTCCGGGCATCCGACTCCATCGTGAGGCATCCAGGTTCGAAACCAACGTCCGCACAAGGATGGCAGGGGGCAAAGCGAAGAAGACTCAGCGCAGGCCCGATGAGTTTCCAGAGTTCAGGCAAGTGGGATCACCAGTCACGCATCAGGTCAGTCCGGGATTACGGCTCTCCCTCGGTGTCAGGAACTGATCATCATCACCTCCCAACTCGAACAGAGCCCTCAACAAAGTTTGCCAAAACTTCCCGGCCGTGCCTTGACTGGCTGCCAGGTAGCACACTAACAGCCTCGACACGGCCGTTCTAACAATCCAGGCGGAAAAGACCGCCCTGGAACCATGGGGACGGACGGACACCCTAAACCAACATCGGAGGCCTCAGCAGCACGATCTTGATGCCGCGCATTACCTCGCAGGGTCGGTGCTTGTGCTTTGGCCTTCAGGCACTCAGCCAGTTCCAGGTCTGCGGCTGAGGAAGCTCCCAAGGGACCACATGGACCACCAGGGTGAAACGTTTTCAAATCTTGGTGTTGAGACTTCTGAGGGGTGGGATGGGGTACAACAAGCCAATCGACTTCTCGCGCTTTCCCGATTCCGTTGATATCTGTTGAGGGAAGGGGCTCAGTCATAGTCAGGGCCGGCATTATGCTTTGGTCTGCTAGCCCTTCTTTACTTCTGACACTCTGCGCCCACCATGCCCCCATGTTGCGATGTCCGTGAGATGACCATTTGCCAGGTAAGGTGTCTTGAAAGAAAGCAAGCCGAATGCACGAGCAAAGCGGTGTGTGCATCCCGTACAAGAAGGAGAGGTACAGCGCTCTACCAGCTCTCTGGCCAACTTCTTTTCAAGTCCTGTGCATGGCGGCGCCGCCACGTCTTTCTGATGCTTCTGCACATGGGAGGGCTAAATTGCTAAATCGGCCTATCAGCTCATAAGCAAATTGACCTGACCGGCGGGTTGCTTCAGCTTTGCCTCCCGATCAACCCGCAGCGCTGTGAAACAGTCACGTGGGGCTCGCGCCGCCCGCGCCGACACGCGAAAGCTTAAACCGGAACTGGTGGTCGCTCCACCTCCGCAAAACCAGGGGAAGGCCAAGACTCCCCATCTGGCACCGGTGCGAAATTGATGCGCAGCTTTCCTGATTCAACAACTCTTGGCACAAGGTGAGATTCAGGCTGAACCAGGTCCTATGAGGTCGACGATGAAGGGCTCAGAGAGATCAGGCCGACCCGACTGCAGGCAACCCTCGCAACTGCACTCGCAGCAATCACCAGAACTGCCACCAAGCCTCGCTTGCCTATTCGTAGGCTGCCTGCAGCCTCAACCACCCTTTCAGCGTCTCTTAAAGTGGCCATCTTCACAAAGCTGGACCCATACCAGAAACCGGTGGTCTTGTCATGGATCCACTGGACGATTTCTACCTCACAGAAAACAAGGCAAGCCTAAGCTGCAGAGCCCTTTTGCGCCATGCGCGAGTGCTATCGCCACACGTCGTGGTAAGGTGTCGGCACCTTTCCCGAGTGCATCACGCACCTGACAAGGCGGACACGCAGTAGTGGTGTCAGCATCTGCAGCCAACAAGATTCTACTTTTACTGCTTTTGCTTCTAATGATATTTCAGAGACGGCTGCGGACTCTGCGGGATCGTAGTCGTGGCCACTGTTGCAGGCACTGCGCCCAACTTCCATGCACAGCTCTCCGGACTCTACTTTGTCTGAAGTGCATCACTTCGCGTTCAATCTTCGTGCAGCCCAGCTGCCATAGTTGCATCGACTGCCAGAGGCATGCTTCCCACGAAGAGTCGTTGAGAAGGCGCTTTGCCCTGATGCTTGGCCTCATGACTAAGACTTCAAACGACAGCCCGAACAGGACAAGCACCCATCTGCAAGTAGCCGAGTCGTTGTCTCTGCGCTTGACCGCGCGCTCTGCAACACCCGCCGGAGCGGAAGCTGCCTTCCGCTTCTCGGCTGGCTTCAGGGCGGGCGTGTGGAGGTCCCGCAGCCTGAAGCCCTCCTGAACACGCCATGAGCGATGCACTTGCCCAGCCAAGCCCATGACAGCATGGTCCTCGCAGAGCGGGCACTGCAGCTCTGGGACTTTCTGCCCGGTCTCAATCTCTGAGCGGCAATCTGGGCACACAATGACGGGCACTTGACAGTCCTGCAGCAGCGCATTGGCACTAGTAGTTTCGGAAGTTCAAGGATCGGTCGCAACGAGCCTGCACGGAGCATTTGAACTGCCCGCGGTAAAGCCCCCAGATGCGTTTGCAAACGCAGCAGCGGCTCTCAACCTCTCAGGGACCAAGCGACACCAAGCGTGGACAGGCCCGAAGAACTCCGCGAAAGCCCCCTCCGCCTCCTTCTCGGTCTCCTCCGAAGGCTTTTTCTCCGGAATCTGCTCCTGGCGCTTGTCGAAGAGGAAGTTCTTGCCCTGAGAGCGTTGAATCTTCACGCAAGACAGAGGCCGGACTCTCCATCCGTCTCCATCCTAAACTGCATAAAGACTCGATTGACCCCTGCCTACGAGTACCAAGAGCTCCCTCCCACCTTCCAGTAGCCGCCTTCGGGGAAGGTTCGCACGTACCGCTCGATCCCACCTGTTTCATGTATCTCGCAGTCCAGGGTCCACACACATTGCAAGGGAGATAAACACAATCCAATCTGCTTCATCCGAACCTGCTCCCAAAGACTCCATCCGCGTACAAAATGCAAGATCTGTCATGCAGTGCAATCTGCCACTAGCAAGGCACACAGTGGCAGTGGCAGCACAGCCAGTCAAGTAAAGATGCTTTGTTTCGTGAGCCACCTGTTTGAGGGCACTTCTGTCAGTGGTTAGTAAGCTTCATCACGCGGCACCGTGCAGCATATTGCATTATGAAGCATCTGATTCTTTGTCTAGGTGCATACTGCGCCTCTTCAGCATCCAGTGCCCAAGTGGAACGAACAACTTTGGCTTCGTCAGTTCAGGTTCGTGGTGTCTGTCTTAACTCACAGCTGCCGCTGAACGCCAAAATCAGCTTCGTTCAACAACCCATCAAGGCATAGGACGTCCTGAAACACGATGGGATGACCAATTGGCCAGATGTTCAGCTCAGCTGCACGCAATACGCGTGAGTGGATTTCCACACAGTCACTTTTTCGTAGACATGTTCTTGATGCTTTCTTGTCCCATGTCCTTCTAGGACCACAGCGTGACTCGAACAGGCAAAGGCAAAGGCATGCAGACCCCTGCAACATCCTCTCCGCAACACAACAAGCACACACAAGACACAACCGGACCTTCTGGACAAGTTCTATGTTCTATGCTTGACAGGTCACAGAAAAAGTGAGAGAGTAGAGGGAGCGAGCGAACTGCAAGCAAGCCATCGCCTCGCAGCATGAACTCCCCGTCTGTTTCGAACTCAGGGTTGTCCTGCCTCGAGGCAGCAGAGGCCAGAACAGAGCAAAACAGCACATGCCTTCTCGGCGCGATGCTGTCAAAACCCCCCAAAAAAGACGAAGGGACGAGGGCTCGCGGCTTAATGCCTGGCAAGACACTTCAATTGGGACATCAGCGCGGAGAAGCGCTCACAGCGGATTCCTCCGGTGCCTTACTGACCACTGCAAGCCAAACAAACGCATCCGGCTTCATCCCATGTTCTGGAAAACACGCTGCCCAATGACGCATTCCCATCACTGACTGCATGCTCTGGCACAATACATCATCACCTTCTTGCCCTTGAGCATGTCCTGTGGAATAGGAACTGCCCTATCAACGTTGTGTGTTGCCTCTTTCTTTTGTGCCCTCCTTCTGCTTCGACAGTGTGACATGTTTTGCTATTCTCCGTGCACTTCTCCTGTGTCTCTGGCAGCCCGAGCCATTTCGGGAGTTCGTGGCTGTTGCGCACCTGCAGCTGCATCCAGCTCTGTCCGAAGCACTGAACCAAGAGTTCCTTGCTCGAAGCTTGAAAGTTGAAAAGGAACAGACAGTACACCTTCGGATCCACGAACTCTGCGCCGCCAGGTGGGGGTTGAAAGTGCCCGATCTCCGTCTCATATCTATTTCTTACCTCACGGCCGCTGAGAACGCACACCTGTTCCAGGCCAGATGGTGTCTAAGCCGATAGCATCGATGATGACGGTGTTCGGTTCGGACATCATCCTCGGCAAGTGTGATCCTAGGTTCTGGGATCAATCACCACCAGCAGGAAACCAGATCCTTCCAGGTCGCTTGTGGTAGTCATCTGCTTCTATGTGCTTGGTCTCATTGGATTTCAAGGACGGAGCAGAGCTCACAGGCAAGCCGTATGCTACCTCAAACGGACAGGCGGGTCTGCTTCTGAACGCAACCGATGGACCGTAGCAGAACGCGTCGAGAATGCACATGGTCGATGCATTTTTGATCCAGGTTCGGCCGTCCCCCCCCCTCCCCCCCCCCAATGGTTGGTAGCCCCTCAA